CGTTTCGCGCGAGAGTTACAAACGACTTATGCAACTAAGTATAAACGGTACATAAATACATGAACATGAAGTAACTATACTATTTACAAGGCGATACGCCGAACATACCGCCCACCAAAATACGACGTATTTTCTACGCTTGAATAGGTTTCTCTGGCGAGGTGTCCATCGGCAGTGGGCCCAACTTCACCAGAGGACGGGTAAGCACGCCATCCGTCGTCCGCACCGTAGCGACCCGAGCGACGCCGTCACGGCCCGGGTGCAGTTCCACGATCCGCCCTCGCCTCCATTGCAAGGGAAAGGCGTTTTCGCCCTTTACCAGGACCAATGTGTCCTTTCTTACCGTAGGTGCCGATTGCAACCACTTCGGTCGTTGTTGGAGGGTGTGCAGGTACTCGTCATGCCACTTCTTCCAGAACTGCTGGTGCATGTGTTGCACCATTTGCCACCGATCGAGTCTGTTTATCGGCACCGGGTTCAGGTCAGGGTGTGGAACCGCCACGAGAGGCTCCAGGGTGAGGAAATGCCCCGGGGAGAGCACCCCGAGGTCGCTGGGATCTGAACTGGTGGGACATAGGGTTCCGGAGTTCAGGATAGCTTCTACTAGGATCCAGAAGTTTTGTGACAAGATGTAATGTGACGCTCGACGTCCCGGATGCAAAGGTAGGCGGTGGGTGCGCTCTACTATAAGTTCCGCAAGTCGATGTCGGTTAAACAGCAATGCCGGGTGTTTAGCCTCGTATGAGATGGCGGAATGTGTGAGCCTGCCGCCCACCCTGAGGACTCCGCGACCATCCAAGAAGGGGGTAAGTTTTCGCAGAGGTTTGGAGCAACTCTGATTGCGTCTGAAACTACCGATATCCTCTGCGAAGCAACGAGATTGTACAAATTTGACGAGGTATAACAAGGTCGACTGAAATTCGATTTGATCCACGACGAGAGTGAGCGCATTTGATCTAGTTTTGGTAACGAATCGGAGACAATATGCGAACATGAGTGGGGTCAAGAGCCCCCCTGGATCAAGGATGCGAGTTTGTTCAGGACCTCCGAATGAGGTCCGGCCGCTTGGCGACACCCGACGAGCCCTCCGTGACGGGAGGAACATGGCGATACGCCAAGGCGGCGGTAAGGTTCTACTGTTCGGCGACACCCGAGTGGTGATACGCCGAGACGGCGGTGTCCAAGGGCACCGCGAGTGCAGGCGACTCGACGGCGCGCGATGACGAGATGAGTGTATAGAGACTCGACCTCGTCCAAACAATGCTATGAATGCGCGGATATCTTCGCCGCGACGTGCCCGTGCGACGCGCGGACGAGAGAGACCACGCGCGCGGTTATCCCCGCCGCGACGTGCCCATGCGACGCGCGGACAAGAGACCTCCCGCTTGAGTTTGTGACCCCCGAGCGCGTGTGACTCGGCGGTGCATGATGACGAGGTGAGCGTGTAAGGACTCGACCTCGTCCAAACAAAACGACAATTACGCGGATGTCTTCGCCGCGACGTACCCATGCGACGCCCGGGCGAGAGACATCCCGTGTGATGAAGCGAAACGACGATTACGCGGATGTCTTCGCCGCGACGTGCCCATGCAGCGCCCGGACGAGAGACGTCCCGCGTGGTGAAGCGAAACAACGATTGCGCGGATACCTTCGCCGCGACGTGCCCATGCGACGTCCGGACGAGAGACATCACGCGCGCGGTTGTCCCCGCCGCGACGCGCCCATGCGGCGTGCGGACGAGAGACCTCCCGCTTGAGTTTGTGACCCCCGAGTGTGTGGGGATCTCGTCTAACTGCCAACATCGACTGAGAGATGCATCTAGAGAATCGAGAGTTAGAAACGAATGTGTAGACTGAGATGCTTGCATCGACACTGAGCCAACCAGAACCCAGCCGAAAATGGAATTAAAGGCGTCTGGTTCACCTTTCTTTCCTACACGACGACCGTCCCGAATCAACGAGGCAAAGATATCTGCGCCGATTAAGATGTCGACGGGACCAGGTCGGTGATACTGCGGATCCGCGAGCTTTAATCCCTCTATGTGTTTCCACGCTCTTTGTTCGACTTGTCTACTAGGTAATTGGGCGGAGATGCGTGGGAGAATCGTAGCCTCTATCGGAACGCGAGTATTGCCATTACCTTGTACTTGGATCACGAGTGAGGTGCTACCTCGAGTGGCAGCCGCTTTGGTATCACTTACCGCTAGGACTACAGTACGACACTTGATTCGTTTGAAACCACCCTTTTTCATGCAATTTTCCGAAATGAAATTTAATTGACTGGCACTATCCAAAAGAATGCGAACAGGGAAGGGATTTCCGTGAACGTCGAGAGCTTCGGCCTGCACCGTCGACAATAATACTGTCGAACTCGATTTCGCGACGCTAGCCATGGTGACGAGGGGTTCATTATTTTGTGGCGACGAACTCTCGTCGACGGCCGATTCGGAAGGGGCTCCGGTATCCGCCGGGGTGTCCTCTGGACCCGAATTCCGTCCGAAATGCAATAGGGTATGATGCCTAGCCTGACACGACCGGCACGTCCCCGTCGATATGCAGTTGTTAGCGCCATGACCCGCGCGAAGGCAATTGAAACACAAATTCGCGGTTTTGGCCGTTGAATGCCTTTCCCGGGGGGATAGTTTCAAGAATCGAGGGCACTTGAACACGAGATGTTGCTATTCGCACACCTGACACTCGGCAGTCTGAGTAGCAAGCGACGAGGCCGATGCGGAATTTTTTACCGAAGACGACTGTGACTCGATCGACATCTTCGTGGGGCCCGATACGGACGCGAGAACCCGGCAGTGATCCGATAGGAACTTCGTGAGTTGCGCGTACTTTGGTATCTCCTCTGCCCGGTGTTCGGATTCGAATTTCTCGCGAAGCGAACGAGGTAGTTTTTCTAACAAGAATTTGAAGAGTCAATAGTCCCAAGAGCCCGTGGGGAACCCTAACAAGTTCAATGCTTGCGTATTTTCGGTAAATGTGTTCAACAACGTGCGGAGAGGGGCGGCTGACTCCAATTTTAACGGCTTGGCGTTTAGCATTAAGTCCACGTGGTAATCCGCTAAGTTCCGCTTATTCTGATATCGCGAAATCAGGGCGTCGTAGGCTATCGCGTAGTTATCGGCGGAGAGGGGGAGGTTCTTCACGACGTTGAGCGCTTCTCCTTTCAATGAGGCTACCAGATATTGGTACTTCTCCATGGAGGAGATGCTCCGATTCTCGTGAATAGAAACGTTGAACAACGCGATGAACGAGGGCCAAAGCGCGAGATCTCCCGAGAATTCCGGAAGTGAGATTTTGGGCAGTCGGATAGACAACGTTTGGACCGGGGCCTGAGCGGCCGCGGCGGCCGCTCGGTCGGCGCCCACAAATTTCTCATAACGCCCGATTACTCCGAAGCGTATCGTATCGAATTCTTTACGGATTGCGTCTTCCGCGGTAAACTCCTCGTCTGAGGCGTCTTGGATTATTTTGAGGTGAGCCGCCTCAAAATCCTTAATCAGTCCAGCCACGGTAGGGTATCTAACTAGGAAATTTGGCCTCTGTGCCTCATTGTCCACGGCGAGCATCGACAGCTCATGGATCTCCCTCATCCGCTGTATACACAGCTCGCGTTTAGTTATGTGACCTCGGCCCATGATGATCGGAATACGACGCTAAGTCAACCAAACAAGTGGAACACGCGCGCAGGGTTGGGGGTTCACGCGAACTCAAAGCGACGACAACTCGAATCAGCACGAAATGTCGACAAACACTAGAGAACAAAAAGCCTCGACTTTGGAATGCCAGAAAACAACACAACTGTTCCGCTCTCCAAGGTGACAAATAACGGATGGCTCGGTTCGGATTCCTACGCGAAGGCACGATATTCCCGATAGAATGTTCTTCAAACACGATAAGCGCAATCAAAATGACAAGTTTGTTAATCGCAAGAACCAATAGCGAACGCAAGAAAAGAGTGTCAAATGCAGTGTAGAGCTAGCAAGGAAGAAGGTTGCAAGGGATGTACAAAAATAAAAAAAAATAGTTGTATCAGCGATCAAATTATCAATTAGGTTGGCACAGGTGCCCGGTTACGACGAGAAATGCACTCAAGTATTTGTTCAGATTAAGTTTTCAGCGATACATGTTGTGCGCGGAACTACGACACGAGCAGCGTATACGACATGAGCAGTACACACATGACACGAGCAATAATCCACGACATGAGCATCAATTACGCCAACTTCTTTTGCAATTGTGATTATAATTGTAATTATAATCTTTAATAAGATTACCTTGAGTGCTACAATATATTCTATACCGGGAACCAGTATATTCGATCGGTGGCAATTATGTTTGCGAGAATTCCAACAATCGGAATAATATATCCAGTGTGTGTTTTCAATATGTATTTCGAGTCTGGCCGAAACACACCCAGCAACAACGAAAATAAGGTAGCGCGTTATTATGGAACGCGAGCTTATGTAGAAAAACTGTGTATATACGCTGCCGGCCCGTGACCGAGCGTCAAGGCCGTCGACGGCGCGGCGAAAACGTATGGCTAGCCCGAGAATATTCGAGATCTGAATATTTCGGTTTCTATGTTAACAATGACGGGCTTTAACTAATTACCGCGTCAATTGCGCAATTTACGATTAGTACAAATAACGGCGATGGAACGTGTTACAACGAGCGAGAGAATTGCGAGCGAGAGATATCGCGCGAGATCGTGGATTCACGCGAGTATTCTCGTCGCGAATTGATTAGATTATTAACACGCCACGCGTTATTGCAATTCGCGTTAAATGCGAATAACAGCGGCGGAACGTGTTACGACGAGCGAGATGTTCACGCGAGTATTCTCGCTGCGAATTAAGAATTGCGAACGAGAGATATCGCGCGAGACTAAAGATTTTAACACGCCGCGCGTTATTGCGTCTCGCGACTATGAGAATAAACAATTAAGCGTATTCACGACAAAGGCAGATAACAGCAATGGCATGGTTGCGACAAGAGAAGTTCACGCGAGTATTCTCGTCACAAAGAGTTGCGAACGAAAGATATTGCGAGAGACTACCACGCGCCACGTGTTGTCGCGATGCGCGATTACAAGAATGTGCGAAAATTAACAAGTTAATGAATAATGCGACGTGAGCGAAAGGTCGGCGGTAATTTTCTAACGCGAAATCCGGCTCGAAGGACCAATGAACGGGGATAGTTTCGCCCCGGAGGCAAGATTTGCGATACTCGAAGGACCAGAGGGGGGTTGTCGCTTTCCCCTCACGACTATCAAATGTTTAACGCGAAAGCAGAAACGCATGCAACGAAATATTAAGCGAAGCGACTCACCGTGTCGGCCGTCGTCCCCGTGATTCCGTCAATCCTCGTCCTGTCCCTTGAACTTGGCCGCTCCGTGGGTCTCGTTCGGCATGCGATGGCAAAACTCGTGCAAGCAAGCAAAACGGTGGAGAGCAAGCGATAGAGCAGGCAGGAAAGGCAGTTGGAGACGTGCGCACTCCCGGTTGAGCAAGGCGGCAAAGGCGATTTCGAGATGCGTTCTGCCCAGCGAACGTGTGCCGTAAGACGGCTCTTAGAATATGTGTGTGTGCCGCACGGCGGCTGTCCAAAACGTGTGTTTGCCGTAAGACGGCTGGATTGCTAATGCTCTGCTGAGAGGTGTGTCCTCTCCGACTATTTGACGATGAGTGTATGCCGTAAGACGGCTGGCCAAAAATGTGTTCGCCGTAAGACGGCTGGATTGCGAATGCTCTGTCCCCGCGGTCCTGGAACATGTCGCTGCGGGCGAGTAGTTGTTCCCTTCCGGGGGGGTGGATACCGTCAGCGGATGGGCGATGGCAGCACCGACAGGTGAGTCGCATGATTTGGCTGATCGCGATCCGCCGACGTTTCGCGCGAGAGTTACAAACGACTTATGCAACTAAGT